TTCCCTCTTTCTTTCTGTCTGCTTTTACTCCCCCTGGCATGAATTATTTTTTATTTTACTGAGACTACCACGGTTAAAACAGTGGGTGCAAGGGAAATTACAGTATTTCGTAGTGTAGACCTGAGCCAGTTGAACTAAAACTAGCTTGAGTATGATAACTTACCAGGGAAGGGTGCAAAGTGAAATGAAATGTTCAAAATTAAAAGCACTTTATGTCTCATTACTATTATCTTCTATAGACTCTGTTTACATATATTCCTATATGATTTCCACATTTCTAGACAAGAAAAACATAATGGTGCAGCAGCGTTAACCAACAGAAAGTTTCTAATTAACTGTAGAACTTGTTCTTCTGTGGAAAAGTGTATTTCTTTCCCATCAGGTACATAGTACATCTAATAACAGTCTTTTCAAGTAGATGGGGAGCGGGGGGGAGTTTGTACTCTCTGATCCCTTTAAACTCTGTTGGAATTCACAAAAAGGAACCGGTGGTGAGTGGTTGCCTGCTCTTGCAGGACATACACAGAGTTAGTTTGAGGAAGGAATGCTAGAAAGTCACTCTATAACAACAGCAAAAAAAAAAAAAAAAGGCATTTTTTTCTTTTAAGATACGTCTACTTTATACCATGCAACAACTTCATAATTGCATGGCGAAGCTTGTGTTTGTATGGAGTTAAGAAATGGTAGTTATTTGCTGCTTAGTCTGTAATTGTAAATGGAGTTGAGTACCGTATTCCAAAGATGAGGTGCCATGTAGTTTGCTGGTCTTAGATTTTACAAGGTCTGTGTCAGTGACTGGATTGAAGAGATAATTGTCATGTAATTACATGGTAGCTGCCATATCGTTACATGTTCAAAAGCCGCCGTGTAGTTCTTCTAAGGTTATTTGTGCCTTGTAAAATGATAAAATACTAGAATGTTATGAGCAGGCATAGCATCATACCTCTCTGCGACAGAGTGATGTGAACAGCCCGATGACTGTTTAGATGAAAGATCTTAAAATGCATAACATTTCGGAGAGGTGTTTATTTTGGTTTAATTTTAAGCTTCATAGAAAATCACTTTGGAATTCAACATGCATGCCTGTCTTCAGGTTTATTTTATTTCCCCGAGTTTGCATGAATGCCAGGGGATTAGGTGGCTGTTGATTTATTTAGGTCTTTCAAGCTTTTCTAGCCTTAACCCATTCAGCAAGGCTTGTGACACACCACCGACAAAGGGGAGTCTGTTCAAGGAGTACCTATGGAAAGAGGAAAGAAATATTCTGGGGACAAAGAGAAAAGTTTTATATTCTGTGATACATAAGCCTCCAAAGATTCCAGTACTTTGGCAGGGGAAAATGTTTTTACTTCTTTTTTTATTTTTTTAAGCATCAGTCTTTTGATTTCTGTTCTGGTTGGTTGTTTCAGGGATCACATTGCTATTTTCTTGAACAGTCTCATTGCCAATGGAAGAGTGTGATTTGTACAGTACTTTTATTTTTGTAAGTTAGTTGTATCTTTAATATTGCATATTTTAAAACAGCGCTAAAAGTATATAAAGATTTGGGGAGTTTCTAACAAGTTTTCACTAATCAGTGAATACCGATGAGCTGAATGCCTGTTGTGCTGTGGGATATGATAAAAATCTTCGAAGCAGAGAGATGATTATACAAATAAGATCAGAGCAAATTCCAGTAAATGAATCTGCTTTGGTTATAGCGTGTCCTTCCACATCGCAAATATGTTGTCTCTGATACTTGATCATAGTGCAGAGATAGTTAAAATTTTGTGTACTCATTAAGTCGGAAACTTGGAAGTTAGACAAAATGTCAAGTCATCACCCTGTCTTACCTTATATTAAGAATATACCGAGAAAGAAACTGTCATTTAAAGTACAAGATTATTCTTTTTCCCCAAAGATGACCTGCTCATAATATTCATGGATAACAATAATCAGATAAAAAAAAAATATATGCATTGCAAATTACTGATGAAAACTAGTATGGGATTAAGATATGTATCTGAGACTGTTGTAGTCTATCTCACATCTGTAATTTATGACTGTTTAAAGTCTCTTGCATGTCAAGTCAGTTGTATGTACTGCAGAAAGGCAGTATCATATTTTGACTGGGTATTCATTTAGTCGTGGAACTTTGTATCTTTACTCTGGAAGAACATCTAGCCCGCTTTATTAAAGAAAGAATTAACAAATGTTCTGGGCTGTGCTTGTGCTGTTTTCTCAAAAAGGAGGGAAAGCTTTTTTACTAGAATACTGGAAGTATGATTTCTGAGAACAAGGGTGATTAAAAACTTTGAAACTATCCCATTATCTATATAAGCACAAAGATTATTAATATTTTAGTCAAATTTCATATATATGTGATCCAGGGAATAAAACTGTTTATCATTTATCTCACCCAAACAACATAGTACATTTCCTATTTTACCATACTTATTGTATCTGAAAATAGCAAACCAGAATTTAACGCGGGATAACTTTTCTGCGATTTCATTAAACTTGGTGTAGTTACATTACTGTGCCTCAGACCCGGTCCCAGTATCTGCACAGTACTTTTCTGAATCTCCATACTTTATTTCGGATTCTTAAATGTTTTCTGTGATTCTCCAGTGTGTTCTCCTCATTAGATGGCACTGAGGCAGCTATTTAAAAGCTTAACTTTCAGATTTAGGGTGTACTTATGCCTGGCAGTTACGATGTCATCTGTTCACAACGGACGCGGTGATCCTAACGTGAACAGATTTCTGAGTTCTGGGTGTCAGCCCTTAAATAATAGTTTTGATTTTGTGCTGCATGTGTTGGTCTTGAGTGAATGTCTGTAATGGTTTCTTAGACTTGAAAAGGTGCAATTTCATAAAATAAACTTAATTTGGCTATGGAATAGTAATTACACTGTCTCATAATCTGTGCTGTTCTTTTAAGAGTGATTATATACAGTCTCTGCATTAGTGTTTCTTGTGTCGCTGAATCTGCTAGACTCCCACTTCAGTAGCTGGCTAAATTGAGAGATGAAAGAACATGAAAGAAGGTCATCAGAGAAGCAGCAACTTGAAACGTGCACACAGGCAACCTGTTTGCCTCCTGCTCGCAATGTATTTAACCGCTGAAACGGTGAGGGAGGTTTTAGATACGTGGGAGGATCCTGCAAGAGGCAAAGGGCATAACCCTAGAAACAGACGATGAGCCGGAAGGGATGCAGCATGATGTTCTCTTAACCTACAGGTTCTTCAAGGCAGCAACCATCTTTTTCTCTGAGTTTGTACAGAGCTTCTAGCATAGTTTGCCGTGATCACAGACACCGTCAAAATTAGAATAATAATAATGATATACTCATTATTTCACCAGGTTTTGCTCTTTCAAACAGTGAGCTAGACGTAATCCAATAATAAAATCTCAGCTGATAGCAGTAGTATTGTATCAGAGGAATTTGGTCCCACACTGCTGAAATAAGTGTAATTGAAGAGCAGCAGCTTAAATAAATAAATTAAAAGGAAAAAAAGAAGAAGAAAAAAAAAAAAAACACCACACAGGAAACAGGACAGCAATGTTGCCAAATGCAAAAAGTTGTATTTCTCTCCAGGCATATCTGAAATATAATAACTATTTTCTAAAATGTGCTTCAGGTAGCACTTGTGTACCTTGTTTGACTGCACCAGGTAAGTTTGTGCAAACCTATCTTTGTTTTAACTTGCAAAAGCCTCGCTGATGCTGAGATGCAGGAAGCGCTAAAATACATCTGCTGCAGAGGGAACACACGACAGTTGCACTTTCTATGAATGGTAAGAATTTGCTCCTTGAAATCCCACTGATTTAACACTTTCACTGTCTTCCAGGGTGACAACATGAAAACCCCTGTAAGCATTTCCAGAGCCCTGATGAGAACTCTGTTGCTTAAGTCGTCACGTGCAGTCACAGAGCTTTGAGCTGAGAAAGTTCTCACAGCTTTTCCTTTCACTGTGAGCTTCAGGGACTGTGGTGAGGTTGGGTTTGTCTGAATTTTTAACTAGTACAAAGAAGCATTCAAAGGTGCTATAAATTATCATGTCAGTATTTGAGACCTTTTGGAATATAAATTGCTACCTAGTTTTGAGATGGAAGAACAGTTGTCACAATATCTTGATTTCCCACTTGCTGTGTTAACTGAATCCAGGGGATGGGGAATACAGCAGCGTTTTCAGATCAGCATTAAATTCCCCTTTAAAATAAGAGAAAATACCAAGCAAATAGATACTGAAAGGCAGATTGTCAGAGGTGTCATATAGCTTGCTGGATAATATATACCTTTGTGCAATACTCAGGAATATGCATCATTTTTATCCATGAATAGGGGA